AGAGGGCGCTAGTGAGGGACGGTCTTAGGGGCCGTTACAATCACTGGTGAGAGCTAAGAGTGTTTAAAGAGGGTGCTAGTGAGACCACTAAAGAGCCAGTAAGAGTCAATAAGAGCCAGTAAGAGTTTAAAGAGGGCGCTAGTGAGGGACAATCTTAGGGGCCGTTACAATCACTGGTGAGAGCTAAGAGTGTTTAAAAAGGGTGCTAGTGAGACCACTAAAGAGCCAGTAAGAGTCAATAAGAGCCAGTAAGAGTTTAAAGAGGGCGCTAGTGAGGGACCGTCTTAGGGGCCGTTACAATCACTGGTGAGAGCTAAGAGTGTTTAAAGAGGGTGCTAGTGAGACCACTAAAGAGCCAGTAAGAGTCAATAAGAGCCAGTAAGAGTTTAAAGAGGGCGCTAGTGAGGGACGGTCTTAGGGGCCGTTACAATCACTGGTGAGAGCTAAGAGTGTTTAAAGAGGGTGCTAGTGAGACCACTAAAGAGCCAGTAAGAGTCAATAAGAGCCAGTAAGTCAGTAAGAGTTTAAAGAGGGCGCTAGTGAGGGACAATCTTAGGGGCCGTTACAATCACTGGTGAGAGCTAAGAGTGTTTAAAGAGGGTGCTAGTGAGACCACTAAAGAGCCAGTAAGAGCCAATAAGAGCCAGTAAGAGCCAATAAGAGCCAGTAAGAGTTTAAAGAGGGCGCTAGTGAGGGACAATCTTAGGGGCCGTTACAATCACTGGTGAGAGCTAAGAGTGTTTAAAGAGGGTGCTAGTGAGACCACTAAAGAGCCAGTAAGAGCCAATAAGAGCCAGTAAGAGTCAGTAAGAGTTTAGAGAGGGCGCTAGTGAGGGACAATCTTAGGGGCCGTTACAATCACTGGTGAGAGCTAAGAGTGTTTAAAGAGGGTGCTAGTGAGACCACTAAAGAGCCAGTAAGAGCCAATAAGAGCCAGTAAGAGCCAGTAAGAGCCAATAAGAGCCAGTAAGAGTTTAAAGAGGGCGCTAGTGAGGGACAATCTTAGGGGCCGTTACAATCACTGGTGAGAACTAAGAGTGTTTAAAGAGGGTGCTAGTGAGACCACTAAAGAACCAGTAAGAGCCAATAAGAGCCAGTAAGAGCCAGTAAGAGCCAATAAGAGCCAGTAAGAGTTTAAAGAGGGCGCTAGTGAGGGACAATCAGAGCCAGTAAGAGTTTAAAGAGGGCGCTAGTGAGGGACAATCTTAGGGGCCGTTACAATCAATGGTGAGAGCTAAGAGTGTTTAAAGAGGGTGCTAGTGAGACCACTAAAGAGCCAGTAAGAGTCAATAAGAGCCAGTAAGAGTTTAAAGAGGGCGCTAGTGAGGGACAATCTTAGGGGCCGTTACAATCACTGGTGAGAGCTAAGAGTGTTTAAAAAGGGTGCTAGTGAGACCACTAAAGAGCCAGTAAGAGTCAATAAGAGCCAGTAAGAGTTTAAAGAGGGCGCTAGTGAGGGACGGTCTTAGGGGCCGTTACAATCACTGGTGAGAGCTAAGAGTGTTAAAGAGGGTGCTAGTGAGACCACTAAAGAGCCAGTAAGAGTCAATAAGAGCCAGTAAGAGTTTAAAGAGGGCGCTAGTGAGGGACGGTCTTAGGGGCCGTTACAATCACTGGTGAGAGCTAAGAGTGTTTAAAGAGGGTGCTAGTGAGACCACTAAAGAGCCAGTAAGAGCCAGTAAGAGTCAATAAGAGCCAGTAAGTCAGTAAGAGTTTAAAGAGGGCGCTAGTGAGGGACAATCTTAGGGGCCGTTACAATCACTGGTGAGAGCTAGGAGTGTTTAAAGAGGGTGCTAGTGAGACCACTAAAGAGCCAGTAAGAGCCAATAAGAGCCAGTAAGAGCCAATAAGAGCCAGTAAGAGCCAACAAGAGCCAGTAAGAGTTTAAAGAGGGCGCTAGTGAGGGACAATCTTAGGGGCCGTTACAATCACTGGTGAGAGCTAAGAGTGTTTAAAGAGGGTGCTAGTGAGACCACTAAAGAGCCAGTAAGAGCCAATAAGAGCCAGTAAGAGTCAGTAAGAGTTTAAAGAGGGCGCTAGTGAGGGACAATCTTAGCGGCCGTTACAATCACTTGTGAGAGCTAAGAGTGTTTAAAGAGGGTGCTAGTGAGACCACTAAAGAGCCAGTAAGAGCCAATAAGAGCCAGTAAGAGCCAGTAAGAGTTTAAAGAGGGCGCTAGTGAGGGACAATCTTAGGGGCCGTTACAATCACTGGTGAGAGCTAAGAGTGTTTAAAGAGGGTGCTAGTGAGACCACTAAAGAGCCAGTAAGAGTCAATAAGAGCCAGTAAGAGTCAGTAAGAGTTTAAAGAGGGCGCTAGTGAGGGACAATCTTAGGGGCCGTTACAATCACTGGTGAGAGCTAAGAGTGTTTAAAGAGGGTGCTAGTGAGACCACTAAAGAGCCAGTAAGAGCCAATAAGAGCCAGTAAGAGCCAGTAAGAGCCAATAAGAGCCAGTAAGAGTTTAAAGAGGGCGCTAGTGAGGGACAATCTTAGGGGCCGTTACAATCACTGGTGAGAACTAAGAGTGTTTAAAGAGGGTGCTAGTGAGACCACTAAAGAACCAGTAAGAGCCAATAAGAGCCAGTAAGAGCCAGTAAGAGCCAATAAGAGCCAGTAAGAGTTTAAAGAGGGCGCTAGTGAGGGACAATCAGAGCCAGTAAGAGTTTAAAGAGGGCGCTAGTGAGGGACAATCTTAGGGGCCGTTACAATCAATGGTGAGAGCTAAGAGTGTTTAAAGAGGGTGCTAGTGAGACCACTAAAGAGCCAGTAAGAGCCAATAAGAGCCAGTAAGAGTTTAAAGAGGGCGCTAGTGAGGGACAATCTTAGGGGCCGTTACAATCACTGGTGAGAGCTAAGAGTGTTTAAAGAGGGTGCTAGTGAGACCACTAAAGAGCCAGTAAGAGCCAATAAGAGCCAGTAAGAGCCAGTAAGAGCCAATAAGAGCCAGTAAGAGTTTAAAGAGGGCGCTAGTGAGGGACAATCTTAGGGGTCGTTACAATTACTGGTGAGAGCTAAGAGTGTTTAAAGAGGGTGCTAGTGAGACCACTAAAGAGCCAGTAAGAGCCAATAAGAGCCAGTAAGAGCCAGTAAGAGCCAATAAGAGCCAGTAAGAGCCAGTAAGAGCCAATAAGAGCCAGTAAGAGCCAATAAGAGCCAGTAGGAGTTTAAAGAGGGCGCTAGTGAGGGACAATCTTAGGGGCCGTTACAATCACTGGTGAGAGCTAAGAGTGTTTAAAGAGGGTGCTAGTGAGACCACTAAAGAGCCAGTAAGAGCCAATAAGAGCCAGTAAGAGCCAGTAAGAGCCAGTAAGAGCCAATAAGAGCCAGTAAGAGTTTAAAGAGGGCGCTAGTGAGGGACAATCTTAGGGGCCGTTACAATCACTGGTGAGAGCTAAGAGTGTTTAAAGAGGGTGCTAGTGAGACTACTAAAGAGCCAGTAAGAGCCAATAAGAGCCAGTAAGAGCCAGTAAGAGCCAATAAGAGCCAATAAGAGCCAGTAAGAGTTTAAAGAGGGCGCTAGTGAGGGACAATCTTAGGGGCCGTTACAATCACTGGTGAGAGCTAAGAGTGTTTAAAGAGGGTGCTAGTGAGACCACTATAGAGCCAGCAAGAGCCAATAAGAGCCAGTAAGAGCCAATAAGAGCCAGTAAGAGCCAGTAAGAGTTTAAAGAGGGCGCTAGTGAGGGACAATCTTAGGGGCCGTTACAATCACTGGTGAGAGCTAAGAGTGTTTAAAGAGGGTGCTAGTGAGACCACTAAAGAGCCAGGAAGAGCCAATAAGAGCCAGTAAGAGCCAATAAGAGCCAGTAAGAATTTAAAGAGGGCGCTAGTGAGGGACAATCTTAGGGGCCGTTACAATCACTGGTGAGAGCTAAGAGTGTTTAAAGAGGGTGCTAATGAGACCACTAAAGAGCCAGCAAGAGCCAATAAGAGCCAGTAAGAGCCAGTAAGAGCCAATAAGAGCCAGTAAGAGTTTAAAGAGGGCGCTAGTGAGGGACAATCTTAGGGGCCGTTACAATCACTGGTGAGAGCTAAGAGTGTTTAAAGAGGGTGCTAGTGAGACCACTAAAGAGCCAGTAAGAGCTAATAAGAGCCAGTAAGAGCCAGTAAGAGCCAATAAGAGCCAGTAAGAGTTTAAAGAGGGCGCTAGTGAGGGACAATCTTAGGGGCCGTTGCAATCACTGGTGAGAGCTAAGAGTGTTTAAAGAGGGTGCTAGTGAGACCACTAAAGAGCCAGTAAGAGCCAATAAGAGCCAGTAAGAGCCAGTAAGAGCCAATAAGAGCCAGTAAGAGTTTAAAGAGGGCGCTAGTGAGGGACAATCTTAGGGGCCGTTACAATCACTGGTGAGAGCTAAGAGTGTTTAAAGAGGGTGCTAGTGAGACCACTAAAGAGCCAGTAAGAGCCAATAAGAGCCAGTAAGAGCCAATAAGAGCCAGTAAGAGCCAGTAAGAGTTTAAAGAGGGCGCTAGTGAGGGACAATCTTAGGGGCCGTTACAATCACTGGTGAGAGCTAAGAGTGTTTAAAGAGGGTGCTAGTGAGACCACTAAAGAGCCAGTAAGAGCCAATAAGAGCCAGTAAGAGCCAATAAGAGCCAGTAAGAGCCAGTAAGAGTTTAAAGAGGGCGCTAGTGAGGGACAATCTTAGGGGCCGTTACAATCACTGGTGAGAGCTAAGAGTGTTTAAAGAGGGTGCTAGTGAGACCACTAAAGAGCCAGTAAGAGCCAATAAGAGCCAGTAAGAGCCAATAAGAGCCAGTAAGAGCCAGTAAGAGCCAGTAAGAGTTTAAAGAGGGCGCTAGTGAGGGACAATCTTAGGGGCCGTTACAATCACTGGTGAGAGCTAAGAGTGTTTAAAGAGGGTGCTAGTGAGACCACTAAAGAGCCAGTAAGAGCCAATAAGAGCCAGTAAGAGCCAATAAGAGCCAGTAAGAGCCAGTAAGAGTTTAAAGAGGGCGCTAGTGAGGGACAATCTTAGGGGCCGTTACAATCACTGGATTTCAATTCAGTGACGGAATATGGCGGCCGGAGGTACCTGGGCTCACCGCTGTATCCATCTTTGAAGACTTAAAACCCGCCGGCTAGTGGCAAATATCCTCCAGGAAGGTGACGCCATGCTAGCACCATCTTCCTAGTGTAAATTGGTGTGTAAATAAGATGTAATATAGCAGTGGTGAGGGTGTAATGAGGGTGTTAAGAGAGTGGTTGTTACTCTGGCAGAGGATGATGTGTTGACATTGTCTCTCTTACTCGGTCTAAATTGTCTATTTTAACCCGGGAAAGTTGTTTTTTGGGTTATTTGAGTGGTTATACAGTGGTTGTGAGGTGGTGGTTGTGTTAAATGGTTGTTAACAGTGGGGGAAGTGTTGTAATAAGGTGAGAGACGTGTTTCCTCTGGCTCAGTTTTGAAGTTATAAGCTGGGAAAGTATGTTTGGGTGGTTTGTCTACCTTGTCTACACTCTTTCAGGCTTGTCTACTTTGGCTACACTACAGCTGCTTGGTCTCCAGCTTGTCTATGTGGTGTCTACTACGTTAACTCCGTCTGCATCTTGTCTACTTTGTCTACAACCTGTTTACCCGTCTCCACTTACCCCGGTTTACAGTCTGTCTACCCTGTCTGCACCTTGTCTACTTTGTCTATAACCTGTTTACCTGTCTCCACTATCTACTCTGGCTACAGTGTCTACTCTGCAGCTTGTCTACCTTGTCTACAACCTGTTTACCTGTCTCCACTATCTACTCTGGCTACAGTGTCTACTCTGCAGCTTGTCTACCTTGTCTACAACCTGTTTACCTGTCTCCAATATCTACTCTGGCTACAGTGTCTTCTGTCTGCAGCTTCTGTCTACCTTGTCTACAACCTCTACCCGTCTCCACTTTACCCCAGCTACAGTCTGTCTACCCTGTCTGCAGCTTCTCTGTCTCTAGTGTCTCCCGTCTAATAAAAACTGTATAATAAAAATATACTCTTCTCAAAACACAAGTATTAAGTAGTGTGTATGAATTACGTTAAGTCTGCCTGAAATGCCCCACACGATTGCGACTTTCTTTGTACGTGACTACCGCCTACAGGATGGGTATGGGGTGCATAATAAACATATTAAACTAAACTAACGAACCAAAATTGTAATCGTGTATTGCAAACATTACAAATAAGTAAATAAATCTTTAAATCTATCTAGCCTGTCTACAGTCTCCAGCTTGTCTACCCTGTCATTGGTTGTCTTCTGTGCAGCTTATCCAGCCCATCTACCATGTCTACCCTATTTAGCTCGTCTACCCTTTGTAACTCATCTACACTATCTAGCTCTACCCTGTTTCTAGTCTGTCTACCCTGTTTCCAGCCTGTCTACCCTGTTTCCAGCCTGTCTACCCTGTTTCCAGCCTGTCTACCCTGTTTCCAGCCTGTCTACCCTGTTTCCAGCCTGTCTACCCTGTTTCCAGCCTGTCTACCCTGTTTCCAGCCTGTCTACCCTGTTTCCAGCCTGTCTACCCTGTTTCCAGCCTGTCTACCCTGTTTCCAGCCTGTCTACCCTGTTTCCAGCCTGTCTACCCTGTTTCCAGCCTGTCTACCCTGTTTCCAGCCTGTCTACCCTGTTTCCAGCCTGTCTACCCTGTTTCCAGCCTGTCTACCCTGTTTCCAGCCTGTCTACCCTGTTTCCAGCCTGTCTACCCTGTTTCCAGCCTGTCTACCCTGTTTCCAACCTGTCTACCGTGTCTATCCGCTTCCTGGTCCCAAACCATTTGATTGGCCAAGGCCTTCTCAACCAGACTGTTCCTGCTGGTTGCACACCACAACCTGGTTGATTAGGAACTGATTTGGCGAGCTTTTCAATTTCCCTCATGAAGACAGCAAGTGTTTTTTTTTTTTTTTTCAGTCCTGGCACTCGGCTTCGCACTAAGTGTCTGAGGTTTAATCCCCGGACAGGTGGAAAAGTTGGGCACATTTCTTTACATCTGCTGTCCTTGTTCACCTAGCATTAAGTAGGTACCTGGGTGTTAGTCGACTGGTGTGGGTCGCATCCTGGGAGACGAGATTGAAGGACCCCAGTGGAAATAAGAAACGGTGGTGTTAGTCGACAGGTGTGGGTCGCATCCTGGGAGACGAAATTAAAGGACCTCAGTGGAAATAAGAAACGGTGGTGTTAGTCGACTGGTGTGGGTCGCATCCTGGCAGACGAGATTGAAGGACCTCAGTGGAAATAAACAACGGTGGTGTTAGTTGACAGGTGTGGGTCGCATCCTGGGAGACGAGATTGAAGGACCCCAGTGGAAATAAGCAACGGTGGTGTTAGTTGACAGGTGTGGGTCGCATCCTGGGAGACGAGATTGAAGGACCCCAGTGGAAATAAGCAACGGTGGTGTTAGTTGACAGGTGTGGGTCACATCCTGGGAGACGAGATTGAAGGACCCCAGTGGAAATAAGCAACGGTGGTGTTAGTTGACAGGTGTGGGTCACATCCTGGGAGACGAGATTGAAGGACCCCAGTGGAAATAAGCAACGGTGGTGTTAGTTGACAGGTGTGGGTCACATCCTGGGAGACGAGATTGAAGGACCCCAGTGGAAATAAGCAACGGTGGTGTTAGTTGACAGGTGTGGGTCACATCCTGGGAGACGAGATTGAAGGACCCTAGTGGAAATAAGCAACGGTCTCCAATGACACATTGACTGTTGAGTGGCAAATTCTCTGAGTTAAAAATATGCTTGGATTTTGTCTTATGGGAGGCTGTTGAAGAGCGTTCGGGTTCCTTATACTTATTGTATTTTCCCTTAGTGTACCCGTGGGACACCTGTATTTTGCACTGGTGAGTCTTGCCATTCTCTCGCAAGGACCCCAATGGATGACTCTTTTTTGGGGTTATCCTAGGTAATTTATGATGAATGCACTTATGTGGCTGACTAAACTTATTTAGGGAGTGGTGTGCGCGCATGTGCGTGTGTGCGTGTGCATGCATGTGTGCGTGTGCGTGCGTGCACGCATGTGCAGATTTTGGACCAGTCCTTCAAGAATTTTTTCAGGTGTAAAATATGCATCTCTGCTCCATTCTGAGGAATGCAGGTCGAGGGAAGTTCGGTGTTCCCTGTAATTTAGATGCCGTATGGAATTTACACATATGTACTGTTTTTGTCTATCCTGTCTCCATCCTGTCTAGAAAGAAAGATTTTGTTTGGATTTTTAACCCCGGAGGGTTAGCCACCCAGGATAACCCAAGAAAGGCAGTGCGTCATCAAGAAACCATCTTATTTCCATTGGATAAGATAAAGATAAAAGATAAAGGTTTATTTCTTTGTAAAGGTTACAATGTGTAATTACAATTTTGGTTTGCTAAGTACAATGAAAACCACTATCATGCCGGGGCATTTCGGGCAAACTAATCCTCAATCTTGTCCCCCAGGATACAGCCCACACCAGTCGACTAACACCTAGGTACTCGCTTACTTGCTAGGTGAACAGGGACAACAGATATAGGGAAACACTTCGAATGCTTTCACCCTTGCTGGGGATCGAACCCCGGACACTGTGAGGAGCATTGCCTACCAGGCCATGGGACATCCTGCCTCCACCCTCTCTACCTTGCATTTGAATAAGACACTTGCAACATTTTGGTATTTATTGTGGAAACATTTAGCCAACCAGCGGTGTATCAATTCAATACAGGATAAATCCCCTGGTGAGGTAATGTCTTCTCGGTAAATGTCCTAATATTGCCTATGTATCTTGCTCATGTTTGAGATCTTTCCTGGTTAGACATTTGCAATATCCTGTTCATATTCATGTCTTGGAAGAGACTGCCTATTCTGGGATCTCCGTCTTCATAGGAGAGAGTTCTTATTTAAACAGTGAATTAGTTTTATTATCCCCCTCTGTTATGGGTGTGGTAAAGTATCAGTACAGTGGACCTCCGGTTTACGATATTATTTCATTTCAGAAGTATGTTCAGGTGCCAGTACTGACCGAATTTGTTCCCATGAGGAATATTGTGAATTAGATTAGTCCATTTCAGACCCCTAAACATACACATACAAACGCACTTACATAAATTCACTTACATAATTGGTCGCATTGGGAGCTGATCGTAAACCGGGGGTCCACTGTATTGGTATCGGGTATTGACTAATCTTGATGGCATCCATTGGACCTAAATTGAATACCTGTGGGTATCGGTTAATATTGATGGTATCAGTTAATATTTATGGTATTGGCATCAGCAGATATTATAGCAGTGTCCCATCACCACTAAATGTTAGCCATAATGTATACATGGCCTACCAAACATACATAGGTTGTAATAATGTATACATGGCCTGCCAAACATACATAGGTTGTAATAATGTATACATGGCCTGCCAAACATACATAGGTTGTAATATAACCTAGAACTTAGGAATTACATTGATTAAAGCTTCTCACTTTGATGTAAATTGAAAGTTTCTAGGATTTTCCTCTTGAGGGAGTTGCCTTGATGCGAGTGAAAAGCTCTTGATTCAGGGAAGTGGACATGCCTGTCTTACATGGATTGACATCAGTTGTCTTCCATTTCCTATGCCCTGTATGACCCCTGTGGGTTTAGCATCTCCCAAAATAATAATAATAATAATGCTTATGTAAGAATTCTGAAGCATTGATTCATAAATGTAAACTTGTATAATATGTTGTATAATATGTTGTATAATATGTTGTATAATATGTTGTATAATATGTTGTATAATATGTTGTATATGTTGTATAATATGTTGTATATGTTGTATAATATGTTGTATAATATGTACGTACATGGAAAGTCCGTAATTTCACAAAGCATTTCAAGTACTGTATTTCACGGCTTATTAGACACACTTTTTTTCCATGAAATGTCTCCAAAAACCACTGTGCGTTCTATAAACTGAAGGTCAGTGATGGGAGCTATAAGTTTGGGGTGTGGGGTGGTCTGTAGCTCTCCCAGTTACGTCCGATGCCGAGCCATTGAAACTAAAACAAGTCTTGTAAGCCGCGAAATACAATATACTAGTTCTTAACCTTAACTTTTTCACTCTCCAGACCCCCCAGATTTAATATTGCTCTGTGTCTACATTAAAAAATGAAGCTGAAATGGTAGAGAATCTTTTTCTGAAGGTAATGACTCCAAAAGTACAAAATTTGATGGAAAACTCACAGAATTACTCAGGTGTAAAGTTAGCAGTCTGGACACAATTTACTCATTGGTGATTTTGCTCTCTGAGTCCTATTTTAAGACAATTCCATTGCTCCATTTGACCATATTCTTAGCTATTTCAATAGTATGCCCTCTGTTCTATCAATTGAGCACAAGAAATCATCCATTCAGCTGTTAGTAGTGTATTGCTAATGCAAACTGCACTGATCTTTGGCATGTGATTGTGGCTCTGACAGTTGTTTTGGTTTTGGTCTTGCATTAATAAAGTTTGCCCGTTACTTCTTAACTTGCATAATATTTTAATATTACTGTCTTTCCCTGTAGGTCAGTGGACAGAGCAGTCAGCTAGTAACTAGAAGCCCTGGGTTCAAATCCTGGGCAGGGCAAGACGTATGGGCAATTCTCCTTACACTCGTTGCTCCATTCTACCTAGCAGTAAATAGAAACCTGGGAGTTAGACTGTTGGTGGTGGCATCCTGGGGATGATAACATCAGGCTTTGAGATGAGCTGAGGTAAGAAGATACTGTGGTTACTAACCTGTAAAAACTTTACTTATAAAAATTACCAAAGCTATTTGCAGTAGGTACTCTTGTAACCACTGTGTTCAATTTAGCATCACATGATTCCTGTGCAAGAATAAGCCCCTGCCTTCCTTCACTACTTCAATAAACCTACATGTATTCCTTTAACCTGTAAACGGTCCAAGCAGATCTACGTTCACATGCGTAGTACTCCAAAAGTAGATTACGTTTTTTTTACATATTTTCAGATATAACAAAAAAAAAAAATCAAATTTTTTTTACACGTTTTCAAATGTACAAAAAAATAAAAAAGATTACTTTTTTACATACTTTCAAATGCTGAAAAAACGTATATATACGTTTGGACTGTTTACGGATTAATAAGCCTCTACAAGGACCACACTGGAAAGAGATTAGATTTTTTAGATTTTGCCACCGAAGTGGCTAGTTTATTGTGCACCCCATATCCATCCTGTGGACGGTAGCGCGAGAGCATATGGATACACAAAAGGCCTAGGAACTAGGCCCCAAAGGGTTAACAGGAATACATATGGATTTATATCTACATATCTATAGTTCACTTATCTGTTACAAGCAAATTTAGGAAATTTGCTTAGTATATCTGGTATCTTATTTTCATTAATAAGATATCTTGACATGTCACATAGGTTATTATACTGTCTGTCTCTGTATTCCTCAATAAGTGGACAATTAAGCACATAGTGTTCAAGAGAGTGACCATATGCCTGATCACATAATTTACATTTAGTTTGATCATCATCTGTATGTCTCCCAAACTGCCAGAAGTACTTGTAACCAAGCCTAAGCCTGGCCACTACAACATCAGTCAGTCTGTTCACATTGCAAGTTGCTCCATAAACATACTTATCTACGTTCATGTTATCATAGTGGGTTATAGATCTACTCAGGCTTCTAACTGCATTCCTATAACAATCATTTTCATTATTTACTTCTCTCCTAATTTTATTCCTAATGCTAGACACAGTTATACCAAAGTTATATTGTTAGGTAAGACACATATGCAACAGTTAGGTATCTTTATTGTGAAACGTTTCGCCTACACAGTAGGCTTCTTCAGTCAAGTACAGAAAAGTTGATAGAAGCAGAAGATACTTGAAGACGATGTAATCAGTCCATCACCCTTAAAGTTTTGAGGTGGTCAGTCCCTCAGTCTGGAGAAGAGCATTGTTCCATAGTGTGAAACAATATGGAGAAGAAGTGACAGGATGGAGCTTTTTATAGCGCCAAGAGGTGAGACGTAGGCCACTAGGAGAGGTAAGAACTCAACTTCCACTAGTGAGAGGGGCTGGATTTGAGAGGGACCTGACTTCTCAACATCTGAGTTCTTACCTCTCCTAGTGGCCTACGTCTCACCTCTTGGCGCTATAAAAAGCTCCATCCTGTCACTTCTTCTCCATATTGTTTCACACTATGGAACAATGCTCTTCTCCAGACTGAGGGACTGACCACCTGAAAACTTTAAGGGTGATGGACTGATTACATCGTCTTCAAGTATCTTCTGCTTCTATCAACTTTTCTGTACTTGACTGAAGAAGCCTACTGTGTAGGCGAAACGTTTCACAATAAAGATACCTAACTGTTGCATATGTGTCTTACCTAACAACCTGTCGGTATTTTATACCATTTTTATGTTCAAAGTTATATTCTACATTCTCCTTCTGGGTACTCTTCTTGGCTAACATATCAACTTTATCATGAAGGAGTAATCCAATGTGTGATGGGATCCATAGCAATTGTACATTAATTCCTTTGTCCCTAATTTTTGAGTATCTATACCTGGCTTTCCCAATGAGCATGTTGTTGGAGTCATTATACGAGTCAAGAGCCTTCAATGATGACATAGAATCAGTAATGATGATAGAGTCAAGCTCAGTGTCATAGGTTAGCTTTAGCGCCATTAGGATTGCAAACAATTCAGTTTGCAGTGTAGACGCCCAGTTGTTAATTCTTATGCCTAACTCAACAAATTTATTATCGTTCTTAACTAGGGAGGTGGCAACAAGAGCAGATGCAGCCCTGCCAGAAGACTCCTGTTTAGATCCATCAGTGTATATAACTTGATAACTTATTACTACCGGCTAGGTGAGAAATTTCTTCTTGAGCAGTTGCTCTAACGAGATTTAAGGAAGGGATTACTAGCAATGAGCTTCTTGGGAGGGACTTGTAGGTATGTGATATTAAATGAACACATCTTCCATGGAGGGGTGAAATGCTCTCGTTGCCTACAGTGATACAGTTCATGTAGGTTATAAAACTTAATGCAATTGCACGTTTTCACAATCCATTTAGATCTGTGTGTATTTACCTCTAGACACTTGGTAAGATTCACTGTGACAGTGTCTGGTTCGTTTCTCAACATTCTAATACCGAGTACAGTGTTAATTTCAACAATCCTATCGCTGATACTAGAAATACCACACTGGAAATAAGTCGCTTTGTCTTGATTTTTTTTTTTGGGGTTACCCTAGGTAATTTAAACATGTATGATAATTGTACTTATGTGTACCTGTACCTAAATTAAGTTTCTTTTTGACGTGCCTTCCTTCACTACTTGACCAGACATACAATGCAACCTTGGTACTCGAACTTAATTCATTCCAGAAGGCTGTTCGAGTGCCGATCTTTTTGAGTACCGAACAAATTTTTCCCAACCAATGTTCTTTTTGGTTGACTGTCAGTTAATATCTTTATCATGCACCCCATACCCATCCTGGGGGCAGTAGTCAGGAGATTACAGAGGTACATAATGGGTCCAGGGACTGTACCTCAACATAACAGAGGTACATAATGGGTCCAGGGACTGTACCTCAACATAACAGAGGTACATAATGGGTCCAGGGACTGTACCTCAACATAACAGAGGTACATAATGGGTCCAGGGACTGTACCTCAACATAACAGAGGTACATAATGGGTCCAGGGACTGGACCTCAACATAAGAGGTACATAATGGGTCCAGGGACTGTACCTCAACAGAACAGAGGTACATAATGGGTCCAGGGACTGTACCTCAACATAACAGAGGTACATAATGGGTCCAGGGACTGGACCTCAACATAAGAGGTACATAATGGGTCCAGGGACTGTACCTCAACATAACAGAGGTACATAATGGGTCCAGGGACTGTACCTCAACATAACAGAGGTACATAATGGGTCCAGGGACTGGACCTCAACATAACAGAGGTACATAATGGGTCCAGGGACTGGACCTCAACATAACAGAGGTACATAATGGGTCCAGGGACTGTACCTCAACATAACAGAGGTACATAATGGGTCCAGGGACTGTACTCAACATAACAGAGGTACATAATGGGTCCAGGGACTGTACCTCAACATAACAGAGGTACATAATGGGTCCAGGGACTGTACCTCAACAGAACAGAGGTACATAATGGGTCCAGGGACTGTACCTCAACATAACAGAGGTACATAATGGGTCCAGGGACTGTACCTCAACATAACAGAGGTACATAATGGGTCCAGGGACTGGGCTGCAAAGTTTTGATAGCTGAATAAGTTGCAAAGGTAATGAACTCCAGGTAGCTCTGGTCAGTCATGACCAGGTTACAAAGATAATGAACTCCAGGTAGCTCTGGTCAATCATGACCAGGTTACAAAGATAATGAACTCCAGGTAGCTCTGGTCAGTCATGACCAGGTTACAAAGATAATGAACTCCAGGTAGCTCTGGTCAGTCATGACCAGGTTACAAAGATAATGAACTCCAGGTAGCTCTGGTCACAGTCATGAGCAGGCTACAAAGATAATAAATCATCTACATGTCTATACATGGTTACAATCATAAGTTGGCTGTTATCACTAATCTTCTTAGGCCCCATGCTGACTTTTTATTATTTTTTTTTTTATTATCACACTGGCTGATTCCCACCAAGGCAGGGTTACACGCTGACTTATTTATACAAATAAAATAAAAAAAAAATGACAAAAAATGAGAAGAAACAAAATAGTTCTGACAGGTCGTGTTTGGTCGAGTGCTGAGCAAATGGTCCACTACCGAGCCTTTTTTTACCGAATTGTTTGAGTAGGGGGCTGTTTGAATACTGAGATTCTACTGTATTCCTTGAATAAGCCTTTACCTTCCTTTACTGCTTGAACAGACATATATATTTCTCTGCAGTTATCAAGGTTTAATTAGGTTTCAAAGTTAAAGTTCAACCTTATGGAACCTGAATTGTAGGTAATTATTAACTGTTATTCATTATACAGATAACCTGCACATAGGAGAGAAAACTTATGATGTCTCAGTCGAACTTGGACCATAAACTAGTCACATTGTACAGGATCATGTATATAGTAAGATAATTCATTACCATTGTAACTTAATTAGCAAATACAAGTGTTGGATCCCAGTCCCTGAACACAGTATGTCCTGCTATACTTTGACTTCTCCCCACAGGATGGGTATACCTGGAGAACGTTTTGGGTACATTATAAAATTATCAAACTAATTATCAAACTAAATTATCAAACTAAATTATCAAACTAAACAGAATAGTAACAAGAAAATTAATGGAGATGTGATTGACGTGTTCTCCATGTGGAAGTGGAGCAGAATTCCTCTTAAGTTATGCATGTCGTAAGAGGCCACTAAAATGCCGGAACCAAGGGGCTGGTAACCTCTTCTCCTCTGTACATTACTAAATTTAAAAGGAGAAACTTTTTGTTTTTCCTTTTATGCCACCTTGCCTCGGTGGAATGCGGCCGGTGGGTTGAAAGAAAAAGAAAGATGATTGAGGTGTACAAATGAAAAATGGGAAGAAATAAAGGGGGATGTAAATAACTTGCTAAAAGTATCTAACCAAGACAGGACTTGCTGCAATGGATTTAAGTTGGAAAAATTTAGCTTTAGAAAGAATATAGGAAAGGACTAATTTGGTAATAAAGTTGTAGAAGAGTAGAACAAACTCGAGCAACGTCGTTAAGGCTGAAACTTTGTGTAGTTTTAAAAATAGCTTAGACAAATACATGAATGAGTGCAGGTGGGTGTGAATTGGGCCTGACCAGTTTGGGCCAGTAGGCTTGCAGCAGTGCTCCTTCTTGCTTATGTTGTTGGGTAACAATGTTTCAGGTCCATTAAGGGAGCCGGCAGGCTGAGGGTGCTGTAAGGCCACAAAGACCAGGACCATGATGTCCAGCACTAGAAAGAGGGTAAGTCTGGCTGCTGTTAATGTCTTATTAGTTGTCAAGGAAAGATTTTGCATGTCATCTTGTCTTTGATATGGGTAATAACATTAATGAATAGTGTAATAACATTAATGATTAACTATTAATGTAACAGTAAACATAATGTAGTGTTTACTTAGACATAGTAGACAGTAGTTTATGGGTTTATTAACCTTTTAATTTATTATTGATGTAATTCAGGAGCATGTTAGGATTTGCTTGTGAGTAGTTCAAGATTTTTTTATTGGTGCAAGTTGGTAGTATTAAAAAAGTTTTTAATATAAAAAATAAAAATTTATAAAATAGTTAATCTGAAAATGACAAAGGATGCATGTAGCAGGTTATATAAGCACGTTCTTCATAATTTTTTTTTAAAGCCTTTCAAAATAGTGTTTTGGCTGCCGCTTAATATGATAGGTATACCTTTATCGTGTAATCCCAGCTGCTTGATCTGAAAGGTATCCCTTTTATCATGTACCCCCTACTGCGTGATTTGAGAGGTATCCCATTTTATCTCAAAACTGCAACTGCACGATCTGAGAGGTATCCCTTTGTGTAACCCCAGCCATTTTTATCTGAACCGTGTAAAGTGTAATTTCTGTCTTTAAAAATCTTCAAGAGACAGGGGAGCAACCCAGGAGCTATAACTGGACCACCTTAAAAGGTTCAGGAGCTGGTGGTCAGCGTCTTCAAAAGGTTCGGGAGTTTTAGCTTAACATCCTTCAGTGAGTAGCTTTTATAGGTTAACACCTTCAATTGGCCGAGGAGCCCTAGATTAATACATGAAGAGGCCCAAGTGCAGGAATTCAACCCAATCAAATGCTGTGAAAATATGAGATCAATTAGACAAAATTAGGATGGCTGGGTTTGTAGAGTTTTAAACCACTATATTGAGAGAGGATTAGACACAGTAGCAGACATGGTTTTTCATTGACATTAGTCTCACCTCTATTGTGAAATCATTATACCAAACTTTATAAAACTGCACTTGTTCACCTATACAAGATATGCTGGTGCATAGCATTTAAAAAATGTAATTTAAAGCTTGCTTAAGCTTAGCTTTTTTTAAATTGTTGTTGGGTGTAAGTTAATTAATATCTCTTAAACAACTTAATAGAATTGCTTAAAAAATATGACTTAATGTTAAGTTGGTTTGATGTTCAGTTTTATGTTTCATTGTAACCCCCCTTATTTGTTAGTGTTCATTAGGGGTGTGATACCCCCCAAATATTTTTCATAAGATTGTCACTCGCAGAACACAGAAATCTGAACCTTTCTTTAGGAAGTAGAGTGTGTGCACTCTGAAGGAGGGGTGGAGATGTGTTGCAGTCTTTGAACTGTAGTATCTGCATGTCTCTGGCAAGACAGTGATGGAGTGAGTGGTGGTGATGCAAATGTTTCTTCTTTTTTGGGTCACCCTGCTTCGGTGGGAAATAATGTGGCTAATGTGTTGGAAAAAAAAAATGTTGAAATCTTCAGAAACTTGAAAGCATTTTCAGTTATGTGGAAATCAGTATCCCATTCTTTAAAATCACAGAACAGGTGGGGTGTGAACCCATGGCAAGTGCAAACCTTTCTTAGAAAATATAGCAGCTTTGAAAGCTTGAGCTCAGTAAGAAGAGGTAGTCGCTACATATCTCATAGAAACCAATACAGTGAACCCTCACCTAACGATATTAATTGGTACCCGAGAACGAATATCGTTAGGCGATTTTTTTAGCGTTAGCCGAGGCAAAATGTTAGCGTTAAAATGTATTGTTAGGCGAATTTAACATTATGTGATGCGTTCGTTATGCGAGGGTCCACTGTAATTTCCACCTTTTTAATTGTTGTATAATAAAATTTTATGCTTACACAGCCTGAAACTCTCCCGAACTTTCCTTTGGGGTCACAGTAGATGCATCAGCATTGTAAGCATGAAACTGTTCAGAAGAGGCATTTTTAAGATACTGCATGGAAAGTTATAGGACCTAATATAAAAAAAATGGCAGATTGGCACAAATAGTAAACGGAACAAAAACATTTTGACATTTGAGGGGTCAAGTTGATGCTGTCTCACATATTCTTGTATTTAATATTTTTGCCTTTGGTTTGGCTGTATCAGATGTATTCATCTTTATATGTTCATTTGGTGCTGTAAGTCCTATATGTTTGGTACAGTTTGGTAAGGATTTAGGGCTTTTATTACTATTTATATGTACAGTGTCAGTTGATAAGCCTCTCTACACCCATGTGAATCCCCTCTATGCTCTTCAGATGTTTTAAGTAATGACTAACAAAAAAAAAAAAATGTAAGGCAAGATAAACTAGTAATTTTTTCTTAGTAGAATGTTGAAAAAGTTGTTTGGTAGATTTGGAATATTATTATAAACATTATTATAACAATGGAGGAGCGCTAAACCTGTAGGATTATACAGCGCATCTGGGGGGGGGGGATGGAAGGTATTCAGGCTCATTTCAGGGAACCGGAGCACAGATCCAATTCGCTAGATCAAGAGCCCCTCACCAGCATCAAGGAACCTCCCTTGAGGGGTGGCAGATTTGGAGATGCCTGAAAGGTGATCCTATTTTCCCTATGTACTTCACCTCACATAAAGCTAATTATTTTAGGATGTCAGTTTTCAGGAGCATACCTGTGTTATGAGAGGGTTTATTGTGTAGCTATTGATAAAGCCACCCACTCTGGGTAAAACGTGTAATATTGATAAAGCCCCCCACTCTGGGTAAAACGTGTAATATTGGTAAAGCCCCCCACTCTGGGTAAAATGTGTAATATTGATAAAGCCCCCCACTCTGGGTAAAACATGTAATATTGATAAAGCCCCCCACTCTGGGTAAAACGTGTAATATTGATAAAGCCCCCCACTCTGGGTAAAACGTGTAATATTGTGTAGCTATTGATAAAGTCCCCCACTCTGGGTAAAACGTGTAATATTGTGTAGCTATTGATAAAGTCCCCCACTCTGGGTAAAACGTGTAATATTGTGTACCTATTGATAAAGCCCCCCACTCTGGGTAAAATGTGTAATATTGATAAAGCCCCCCACTCTGGGTAAAACGTGTAATATTGATAAAGCCACCTACTCTGGGTAAAACGTGTAATATTGATAAAGCCCCCCACTCTGGGTAAAACGTGTAATATTAATAAAGCCGCCCACTCTGGGTAAAACGTGTAATATGTTCAATACATTTCATAAGTTTGTCATTTATCTTGGTGCTTATTGCCAGTTTTTTCCTTGAGTTTTAGCAGCCTTTTTTTATTGTTTGTCCTGAGAATTATTTGGAGTAAACTTTGAGATCTTTTATCCATATAGGTCAGTTTCATTTAAAATTACCTATAAAATGAATTATTTAAATTACTATTCATTAATTGGAAATATTCTTGACAAATGTTGTAGCAATTAAAAACATTTGTATGGTATTACTGATTGCCACTATTTTGTGTATGAAATGGATACTGTAAATCCAGTTATTCACGTTGGGCGTTTTTTTTTTGGCTAAAACAATTTTGATATAGGCCTATATCTACTATACAACTTAACCCCATCATTGAACAATCCACCTTCAGACTGAATACTATACTATCTAATGCTTTCCTTGTAATTGTTTAAATAATTTCTCACTTTTTCAGGGGCCATCTTTTTTTGATTTGCGAATGATTGGAACAAACTGCCAAGTAGTTTCTTGAAGCTAATTGCTTGGGTAGCCTGGGTTAGACAAGTACACAAGTGTAATGTGAGAAGGACTTGTCTAGTATGGGTCATTAGGCTTCCTGCAGTCTTCTTTATTCTTATGTTCATGGGCTAATAGGCCAGAATCTTAAAAAAAATTAATCCACATTTTTAACTTTTACCCCTAAAACTTGAGGATTGTGTCTATACACCAAATGAACATATATACTAAATAAATGAATTTGGTTAAATATACCAGAAAATAGTTTAGTATTCACTCAGTAAGTCTATAGAATTATACAGCCAAAATCAAGAAAAATTATATATTGAATTATTTTTACCCCAAAAATGATCATATACAGTATAGACACCAAATGGCTTTAAACCAAAAAAAAATAAATTTGGTGTTAAAGGACTTGCATGTTGCTAATCTGTTTGGTTGTTACTATGCATCATCTTTCCTCAGTACCTAACCCACCTTCCTTTCCTCCCCTCACTATAACTAGGACATGTGCCAGTGTCATTAGTGGCAGTTTTGTCATAATTAAGGTGTGTAAGCATGAAATTCAAACAAGGAAATAGTAACTTATACAAGCAGAATTGCTATATGGAATGTATAATTTTGCTTAAATAACGTTTTATTTAGTATGGGTTGTTTTGAGGCCTGTTTGATGTTGCATTTGTCAGTGTAGCTACAACATCTATGGACTCCATCCTTTGATATCATTTGCCTGCATAATAAACTTCCTTACTATTTTAATAAGTAAAAACCAGTTTTTTACTCATTATGAATCCCTGTTTAAGCTAAAAAAAAAAAATAGAGGAATTAATGGTGCTACATAGAATTTTTCAAAGATCATATGCTGTGGTAAGAGGCTGGGGCATGTTCTTTGGCCACCATGTTTAAGGAATGGACTATAAAACTTTAGTTATCCCATGCTCTCTGTGCAAGTTTATAATTAGCACTCCTCTTGAGGGAGTTTCCTTGATGCTGGTAAAGGGCTCTTGACCCAAGGAATTAGACCTGACCTGTCTTTCATTGATCAAACCTGATTTCCTTACATTTGCCCTGCATGCTGTGACCACTACAAGTTTAGCACTCCTCATGAATATAATGATATAATTTGCCCTGCATTATTGAAAATTATTGGTAGATTCATGGAGTACCTTTAAGATTCATATTTTTGTAGGAGTATAAATAGGGTTCAAAAAAATGCATGCTACGAAAATTTCTTCCTTGTGACATGTTAAATGCTCCGCTCTGCTGGTCTTGGCTCAAGTATGTTCTCGTGATTTTTCACTTAATTATAAGAG